GAGCCCCTGAGCCGGTGGGGAGGGTCTCAGCCCGGGCAGGAGAGGAGCCGGCGGCCCGGCCGCGGAGCCTCGCTCGTGGAGAGGATTCGCGGAGCGGAACAGGAGCAGCTCGCACCCACAGGGCTCCGGGTACCCAAGAGGTGCTGCCGCTGGGAGCTGAGGAGCACGGTCCTGCTCGACCCCAGCTTCCCTCCGTTGTCAGGAGTGTTTCCCAGCTGTCTGGCTGGACTCGGTGGAAGGGACTGTCAATTCTCATCGGTTCTGTGTTCACCCCTTCCACAAACTTTTCGCTCTTGTTTGAATGTGAAATGGGATCACAACCCCTTTAAAGTGGTTCTGAGCCTTCTTCCTGTGCTTTGAACCGTTATGTTTCCATGCTCAGAGTTCAGTGGACTCCCTTCTGCCTTTAAAAATACCACTGGTGAGCAGCAGTAGGTTTAGAAGTCAGCAATATAAAATCTATTCACAGGCAACTATAGGCCAGTGTCTCTCTCAACAGCCCCATGGCTTTTTGAGCCTACCACAGTGTTTTGGTCAAACCTGATGACTTAGTGGTCTGAAAAAGGTGGCTGAGACTGAATGTTCTGCAAAAAAAAGCACAAGCCTCTGAGTAGAGGACAGAATTTTACACCCCTGTCATGCTCCTCTTGAGGGAAAGGAGGAATAAGGGAATTCTTAAGTGTCCTGTGACTCCTTATGAATATGTTACCTCCAAAGCAACCGCCCCGTGTGCTGCCTTTCCCTTGGCCAAAAGGATGAAGGAGGTTGGCTGCAGGATTGTTGTGGGAGTGGTGTAGAGGTGCATGGGGTGATGAAGCAAACCCACAGGAGGCCAGCTTCATTAGTTTTACTACCCAGAGAGAAAATTCTCATTACCTGAAGTAGTTTCTCTTGTTTCTGGAGCACATGGGTGCTCCTGGATTATTGTTCTCCTAAGAAAATAGGTTTTCCTTCACAGCGCAGCAGTCTGTACATGAAAGACTGAAAGGAGGGCTCAGGACAGGGCTGGGGAACGCAGATTTTACAGGAGGTTTATGAACTGAAAAGTTGCATCATGGGGAGGAGATGGTTGGAGTTGTTTCTGTTCCCTCAGGGTGACTCGACTTTCCCCTGAAGCAGCTTCTTTTGCTGAAGGCAAGGAATTATTTCCTGAGCATGTCTTCCTCCTTTTAATTTTTATTCTTTCCTGTTCATTCTCTTTATACCTTCTCTGGTCAAATCTGGAGCACAAGGTGGCAGTTGAGAGGTAAAGGAGCAAATGGACAGTAGGTCAAGCAATAAGGAGCTTGTTGTTGTCTTTAACAGAAATCACTGCCTGGATAACAAAAATAGATGTGAAAGAACTGGACATAATAAGGTGAAGAGCAAGAGTACGCATGTTAGCGAAAGCCTCTGAAAATCTTGTTAGGACATCAGAGGAAAGGGAAACCAGGGGAGCTTTCAAGGCCTTTGAAAGAGAGTAGAAGCAGCCTCATGATCTGCATGTGTGGGGCTTATCTTGTCTGGTGTAAGCTGCTGTGGTTAAGATCATCTCTGGTTCTATTGTTACCCCCCAGGTTTTGCTTTGGGGTTCTAACACCCAGCAGAGCCTAGTGCAGCTGCTTTCCAGGGTTATTGCCATGAAGAAAGCTGTGCGTGGAGCTACAGGCTACGTTGTGCTGTCCAGGCAGGTGACGAGAAACACTCCCTGCTCTAGAGAGTTTACAGCTCTCCCAACCCAGGTTCTGCTGGGCTTGGTGATCGTGAAAACGTGTTCTGCCACCCAAGGCTTTCTTGACACGTTTTTCTTCTGGTTTTGGCAAGCCCCTGCCTCTTTTTGATGCCGTGCCCTTGGTGAGGGGAGCTGTGTGCTCAAACTGTGGACCTCCCAGCTGGGCCATGTAGGCCAGCACCAGTGTGGAGGTGGTGGGCAGGGTCCTTCAATCCGTGCTGACATCTTTGCTGAGTGGGTGTTATGTGGGCTCACCCCGCTCGGGTGGCATTGATCAGGGAAATTACTGCTTGGTATGAAGTCCTTGATGCTCAAGGGGTCAGAGCAGGAATAATTCGGGGTCCCAGCTCTGCTTTCTCCTGCTTTCATACAGTCCTAGAATCGGTGAGCTTGGCAAAGACCTCCAAGATCATCAAGTCCAACTGTCAACCCAGCACTACCATGACTACTAATCCATGTCCTGAAGTACCGTGTCTGCATGTTTTTTGAACCCCTCCAGGGATGGTGACTCCAGCACCTCCCTGAGCAGCCTGGGCCAATGCCTCACCACTCTGTCAGGAAAGAAATTCTTCCTCATATCCAATGGAAACCTCCCTGAGGCAACTTCAGCCCATTTCCTCTTGTCCTATCACTGGTTACCTGGGAGAAGAAACCAACAGCCCCCTCGCTCCAACCTCCTTTCAGGGAGTTTTAGAGAGAGTTCCCTGCACTTTGAAAAGGTTGTGAACATGACCATGCTCCTTTCCCTTGGAAGGCCTAGATTTACTAGTCCAGGTTAACATTTTGGGTTATCTACTGAACTCTGAGCCTCTTCCCTTCACTTATGCCTCCAGGACCATGTGCAGGCAGCACTTGTGCTTGTGTGGCTCCTGCTAAGATGGAGTGATGGACTAAGCACCATTCCTCAACTTGGTTGTGCTGCTGTTGTGCCTGTTAGGCTCTGGGGTGTGTTTCCTCCTTCCATTGCCCATGGAGCGAACGTCACTCCATAGAAGAGCAGAGATACTTCCATGAGCTGTTCCTGTCACTGTGAGTGGAGCGAAGACTGCGTCATCTGCCTCTGGATGCTTTTTCAGGAGTGACTATTTTGCTGCTTTTGGTCACAAAGGATAAATTGCAGTTGGTGGAAGGAGCTGCGACCAGAGGAACACCCACCATGTCCTGTAGGAGTAAGGGGCACGTCTCAACTTAACTCTCAAGTGTTAGGTGGTCATGGGATCACGTTCCCTGAAGTTTCCTTGTGCTGTGTAAGTTTTCTTCACACAGCACAGGCACACTGAGGTGAGCACCAGGCCTCTGCCCCAGGACACCCCGTCGCTGCATGGGCTTTTTGTATCCGTAGCATGGCTGATGATTTAATGGCTATGTTCATAAAGCAGCAAGTTTTAAACACTCTTCTGGCAGACTAGTAATAGTTGCAGTTAGTTCTGCAGGCAGCAGTGCTCATCCTGGGCTGTTAAAGCCTGTTTGCCAGCTGCAGACTTGCCCTGCTTTTGAAGGACGTGGCTCCTGCCCACAGCTGTGTTGGGGTTTGCTCCGTGTGCCCGTGGAGCAGCCATTTTGCAGGAGCTCGGCAGCAGTTGTTACCTGGCAACAGTACACGAAATTGCAGTTCTGAAAAAACAGTGAAAATTTCAAGTGAGGATTTTGAGGAGACAGGAGCCTGTGACTTCCCAGAGGAGGTTTCTGTTGGATATAAGGACGAATTTCCTTCATGACAGTGGTGGGGCATTGGCCCAGGCTGCCCAGGGAGGTGCTGGAGTCCCCATCCCTGGAGGGGTTCAAAAAACATGTAGACGTGGAACCTGGGGACATGGTTGAGTGGTTGTGGTAGTGTTGGACTTGATGATCTTGAAGGTCTTTCCCAACCTTTATGATTCCATGGCTTGGGAGTACTGATGTAGAAGTGCAGGTGGAGTAGGCTTGCTCTCTGGTGGGGATTGTCACCTATTTACCTTGCTAGTGAAATAGAGAGAAGAGTCCTCTTCACCCCCTGTTACATCTCTCCCCTTCTCAAAAATCTTCAGAAGGTGTGGAGGCTACCAGGTAACTTATGCTAGGCCAGTATGTGAAGTCAGGGCACATGCACTCTTCAGAGCAGAACTGGAACTCTGAATAAGTGATTTCTTTACACAAAACTTGAGTACTGTGAACTTCCACGTGACGAGTCGATGAAGAGGACAGTACAGGATTCCCAGAGGCACAACAGCAGTTTCATAGCTCAGTTACTTGAACATTTGGACTCTGAGGTGAGGTCTCACAGTCAGAAGCCAGTTTTGGAAGGTAACAAATGTATTATTTCCATCCAACCCCAGCCATTGTGGCTGACCACTCTTGCTGAGCTTCAGAGGTCTCCCTGCAGGCATGAGTGTTGGAAATGTTCAAGGACCCCTTGATCTGGCACTGGATTCAGTAGAGCTTTATTACTGGCTTAGTTTTTCTGATTCAAGACTGTTTGCTCCTTGAACCTGTTACGTTCTTCCTACCTGTTCTTTGGTGGGTTTCTGGTCTGCTGGAATTAGTTGAAAAAGAACAGATGACTTCACCTGCTTGTTTGTGTGGAGAGAATTTTCTTACGTGGGAGGTCTCTTACCTATCCTTCTTGGAGAAGAATCTCTTTCCCAACAGATGAGGCATATTCTATACCTGATAGACCAGCAGAACCTGACAAAACCCATCTGGAGGCAGTGTTATTTCATTCAGTGCTATTTTTTTTTTTTTTTTCATGATCTTGTGGCTAGTTGCTCATGTTTTTCCCTAGGTTCAGTGAATGAGAACCAGAGACCATCAAATTCCTATAATGGAGACCTGAATGGGCTGCTGGTGCCTGATCCCATTGTGGCTGGAGATGGACCATCTCTGGCTAAGCCAGTGCATCGCAGCATTTCTCTGGGAGCCCTGCAGGAGAAGCAAGTCATGTAAGTTTTATCAAAAAAAGGCTGAGCGTAAAGAGAAAATGCTTAAAAATCAGTTCTGGTGAGCCTGGACAAGCATGCTGGGCATCTGATCATAGGTTTTGCATTGAGCTCAGGTGACTGGTGGAAAAGGACCTGGTTGGGGGTGTGGTTGGTCAACAGCCACCTGATCGTGAGCCAGTGTGTGCCCAGGTGGCCACCAGCATCCTAGCTTGGATCAGCACCATTGTGGCCAGCAGGACCAGGGCAGGGATAGTCCACTTCGACTAGGTACTGAGGAGGCTGCCCCTCAAATCCTGGGGTCAGTTTTGGGCCCCTTCCTCCAAGAAGAACCTTGAGGGGCCGGAGCGTGGCCAGAGAAGGGCAACGAAGCTGCTGGGGAAGGGTCTAGAGCCCAAGTGTGTTGAGGAGCAGCTGAGGGACCTGGGGGTGCTGAGCCTGGAGCAAAGGAGGCTCAGGGGAGACCTTCTGGCTCTGCACAGCTCCCTGACAGGAGGCTGGAGCCAGGTGGGGGTTGGGCTCTTCTCCCAAGGAACAAGCCATAGGATAAGAGGAAATGGCCTCAAGTTGCCCCAGGGAAGGTTGAGGTTGAGGAACAATTTCTTGCCCTTGAGGGTTGTCCAGGGCTGTGCCAGGCTGCCCAGGGCAGTGGTGGAGTCCCCATCCCTGGAGGGGTTTCCAGGCTGTGGAGATGTGGTGCTGAGGGACATGGGTTAGCAGTGGACTTGATAGAGTTAGGTTAATGGTTGGACTTGATGATGTTAAAGGTCTCTTCCAACCAGAACAACTCCATGATTCTGTATAGAATGCTTTGAATTCGTCATGGGGATAGTGATACAAATCCCTGTCAGTCTAGTTAGTGTCATACTTGGCCGTGTGTGCTGACTCCTGACATTAGATCTCTTGACAACAGCTTTTGTTAGGGGTCTTGGGTCAGTTTGGGGAGAGGATCCTGTGAGACACGTGTGCAGCATATGCTGCTGTTAATGGGGTTCAGCTGGTTGACTTTGGTCTCTTTGCACCTTCCAGTAGCAGTCAAGGCTACTCGAACTAAACATATGTCTGTGCTCGTGTCAGACTGAAGGTTTTTAAGCTGAAAAAACAGGTCTTTGGCTCTGTCAAACCTGTGATGCATGGGGAGGGGAGACTCTTCACAGGAAGTTGTTTCCATTTTCAGTTGTTCATCCCAAACCTAGAGACACAGATACTCCTGTGCTGCTGTTAAAATTATGACTAGCAAATATTCACCCTCTCTTTTCTTCCTGCGCGTCGTGTCTGATTATGTTTTTCCCTTTGGATTTCTTAAAAGCTGCCTTTCTGGTGATGACAGCTCCACTTGCGTAGTGATATCGGCAAAGGATGTGGAGATAGTGGCCAGCAGTGATTCCAGCATCACCAGTAAGGCCAGAGGGAGTAACAAGGTAAGGAGTGAGCATAAGCATTGTTCTGTCTCTTCTTTAAGGTACATCAGCTCATCCTGGAATACTTTAAAACAGAATTCCTTTCTTTCCTGTGGTACAGGAGCTTGCAATTAGGTACAAGCTTGTCAAGGAGCTTCACAGAGGGAGAAAAATTGAAGTGACGTCTTGTCTTGTTACTGTTATTCCAGAATCCATCCAAGTTATCCTCTAATTTTCAGGGACAAGTCCATGATCTAAGCTGTAGGTTCCTGGGAAGGTGCCCTTCGTTCACAAATAAGCTCTTCCTACTGATTGTTTCTTCACTGAAAAGTCTTCCCTGTGGAGGGAGGATTGTTCTTGATAGTTTGCTGGCCTCAGTCGTGCTGAGGGCTCTACTCAGCAGATCAGAGCTGCAGTAAGACCCAGCGTGCTGAGATTGGAAGTAGTGCTGTAGCAGGGTGCTAAGACATGCTCAGAATAAATGCCAGTGCTTTATAAAGAGAACTCTGGTCTTGATCCTCTCAGCCCTTTTCTGTATTATCTCGTTTTGTTCCTTAATGTGCAGTGAATTAAGGGGCTGCAGAGATAGTAAATGAACACTGCTTCATGTTATCATTGCTTTTTGTAAACAATGCTGAAGATAAAATGGAGAGGGAGGATCCCTGCTGTAATTTCCACAGTATTTCTTGACGCTTTGCTCACAGAGACAGTGCTTATCAAATGAGACTCTCACTTCCTTGGAAAGCAGTATTGAAACTACAGAGCAAGTGCAGCAAATGCATTTCTGCATTTCCAAAAAGCTTCCAGGAACTTGGAATTTAGGCACAGTGCTTATAGAGAGGTGGAGGCTGCTTGCTTTGCTGTAGCTGCAGGATAGAGAATCGTTCTGCAGCACGATGGATTTGGTGGGTTGCAGTGGCAGGAAACATTCCTCAGCCTCCTGAACCCCAAGTTTTCAGGGCTCTGTCCTCTTCCCTTCTGTGGGCAATTCTTGCTAACTGATCCTTCTAACAGTTTCTTTTTAAGCATTACAGATCTCCTCTAGAGGGAGCAATGTATTTGGCAGGTTTGTTCCAGGAAAAGGTTCATTCCACACATTTCTCATGGTTTGTTTTCTTTCAGGTGAAAATACAGCCTGTTGCTAGATATGACTGGGAGCAGAAATATTATTATGGCAATCTGATAGCTGTTTCAAACTCTTACCTGGCTTATGCCATTAGAGGTGAGACACCTTCTTGTCTTGGATGTGATTTGCATTCTTTTGCTCAGCCTATCTCTAGAAGAGGCAATATTTGCATCAGGAGAAGGAAACTGGCAATAATTTAAACCTGTTTTGAAATACCCAGGTCAGGGTGCTGTTGTAGTGAGAGTGTAAGTGAAGCTGGAGCTACAGGATAGAG